CTGTGCTAAAAGGCAAGAGCTAAAATAAATAGAAGTGCCTGTTTACATGTAAGTCATTAAGCAAACCCACCATGAAATAACGGGCCATTGAGGGAAATCTAAAATCTTAACCCAAGTCTCACATTTCTGCTCTCAAGATAAAGATTATTCAGGTCTCCACTTCTTTCTAAATACAAGAGAAAACTTACAATGTCAATAAAATACTTTTGAATTTGAAAACCAATGACATTTCAAACTTCAATGTTCTCCTCCAAAGTCTACAAATTATATTTATTCCTTCCTACTGATTTCTAAGGAATACACTGACAGTGACACAGAATCACACATAACACACACTAAAAACAAACCGGTAACAGTTCAAGTGGTAAAGTTTGATCAGCAAGTATTTACTGAACTCATCAGGAGCCTCAGAAAATACAGAAGCAAAAGAAGACTCCAACGTCACAGAATCTATACAGTCCAGGTGGGTAGCAAAGCACCCCTCAAGTACTTATAGAATAAGGCCCAAATCAGCACAAATTTCATTACTAAATTGAAGGGGAGTCTTCAAAGGTTACAGTATTTCATACATAGAACAAACCAATTTGAGCGGTAAGCAAGAAAGAGTTTAAGACTTTAAAAGAAATAAATTTCTAAAAGTGAACTGTTTTCTTTGATTTTTTTAAAGAAACTGATATCCCAATTAATGATTAACACAACAACTTAAGTGTGATTTAACATAATGGATTAAAAACATGCACCTGACTTTCTAAAACATTGCTGAAATGCCTATAAAAAAAAGTTAAAATAACAAAATCTAGGGCAAAAGGAATGGGACAGAAGATGACAGCAAGTAAGAAACATTTCTCCATATTTAAGATGCAAAGGGCACAGAACCTGCATCAACAAGACACAGAAAGCTAAAGCCTAGCAGGACAGGGATTAAGGGAAGACCAATGAGAAGTGAACTTGTTTATGTCACCATCTCCCAAAAGGTTCAGAATTACTCCCATATTTTCAATTGCTTGTCGTTCTGCCACAGCATCTTCAATTTTATTTTCTAATGCTTCTATTGAAGTTTTTATCTCTGCTCTCATATTTTTTAATTTTTCAAAACTCTTGCTTTCTGCATGTTCTCGTTTTCAAACACACAAAAGTAGAAGGAACTGTGTAACTCCCAGGTACATATTAAATAGCTTCAGAAGTTGTCAACATTTTACCAATCTTATTTCAGCTATTCTTCCTCACTCTACCATTTCTGACAGGTTATTTTGAAGCAACTCACTGACATGATAATATATCAATTGTAATTTTTTAGTATACTGTGTCTAATATATAATTTTAAAAATACTTAACACTATAAATTATCACAACTAAAAAAGTTAACACTTTCTTGCATATATAAGAAAGCTGAAGCTGTGTCTCTTGTCTCCCTGAGAATATTATCGTTCATTATGAGCTCTGAGGTTGTTCGCTGCTCTCCACACTGTCCTACTTCTCTGGGTTCCTTTGTGTCTTCGCCTTGCATTCTGTCATTTCTGTTTCAGACATTCCTCAGTGTTTGATGGGCAATGATTATCAGTTCCTAATTTCAAGTAAAGTAATAAAAAACCTAATGAAAGTTAAATATGTAACAGTTAGTTTGCCAACAGGTAGGCCTCTCCATGGGATGATCCAATGAAAAACTACTCTTTAGATATTACCAATGTGTTTTGCATTAGGCTGCCTTGAAGAGGAATCTCAATGTTTCCTTCTCTGGATACACAGGTAACATAACCTTTCCAAGAATACACATTGGGGAAAAAAAAAAAAAAAGAATCTCCCCTTCTTCCAGATTATAAATATGACATATGTGAAGCACTTGGGTTTAAATTTCAATTAGACAGTTCCTTAAAATAAGGTGCTTTCACAATAAAAACCACAATTTTCACCTTCTTTTGAAAAATCTAAAAACACCGGGTGCATAGCCTGAGTCCCTGGTAGCACACAGACTTCCTATTTCACCACTGGCATCACTACTCCCTGGGGCATAGCTAAGCTGAGACACAGCTTCAGCTTTCATTCATCTTACACCTATATGATAGGCAGGAAAAGGTTAAGGCTGCTGTTGTATAATAAAATGTGACTACATAAAAGGAAAACAATTGTAAAATATGCTTAGTTTATTTTTCGCTATTCTGGAAAAAGGCTGAATAATCCGATGAAATACTCACATGAGGCAAAATACACCCTAACATTCTGCAACACAGACAAGTAAAACATACATTTCATACTCAAAAAAAAAAAAAAAAAAATAGCATTCCCATGTCCAAGCAACCCTACAACCAGCTCTTTTCAAGGAGTCTTATGCCAGATTTTAGATGTACAAGACAGAAAGAATTTAAAAAATGGAAAGAGAAAGAAATTGAGATTTGTCATTTGCATTTCCATAAAGAAAGGAAATTCTCAAAAGTGCTTTCTCCTCACCAAAGGGCGCTCAAATTATAATGCTTTACAGGGCTAAAGACAGATCAAGTGCTGAATTTATAGTCTTATAAAAACCTCAAAATCTCTCATTTTAGGTAGCACATTTGAGTATTTTATATATACACACTCATTATGAATTATATTCAGATATGTAAGTCATACACACACACATGTATATATATATATATGTATATATATCATATGACTACACTTAGAAAATACATCAAGGAAATTTGTAAATGTTGCCAAAGATAATTTAGATATGTTTAAATGATTAGCCATTAAAAATGTCCAGTGACATTCCAGAGATCTACTGTACAACATGGGCATACTAGAAAACTGTTAGAGAGTAAATTTTAAGTGTTCTCACCACAAAAATATGAGAAGTATGCATATGATAATTAACTGAGCTCAGCCATTCCACAGTAGAGTATATACATCATTAAAACATGTTGTACACCATAAATATATACAATTTTCACTTGTTGATTTTAAAAATTAATTTTTAAAAAGTGCCTACAGATAACGTTTTTTAACTATGTGGAAACACAGACTTCATTCAGTTCCAGATTTAAAAGTTATCTCCATGACTCCTGGCTACATACCTGTTAGCTAAAAACAACAATGCTACAAAACTTGCTTTCAGATTAACAGCCCTGTCATTTATCCTTTAAATGTTTATCTCCTTTGGTCACAATTTTATTGTAGTTAAACAGCAACTAGTGTGTGACCAAAAGCATTCAAATGCTCTGAGCATACAAAGAGCACACTGTTCTTTTTCCGGCTGAATGGACTTTCACTGGTGTGAACAAAAGACAAGATCCTGCTATTCTTCAAATTAAAAGGCAAGAAACAGCAAGGAAAAACATTGCGTAGAATACCTCTCTGGGTTCACTTTATAAATGCTAATGAGAACAGTGGGCTAAAGAGTTGCTTTTCTTTTTCAAAAGTTTTTCAAAACTGAAAAATAACAACACATTTCAGCATTTCTTTTTAAAAAGGTTGTGCTAATAATAGTTTGTGACCCACTGTAGCTAATACAGTATGCATTATCTAATGCAGATAACACTAGAGGAAAGATGGCCACATGCAAAGATGGTCAGGCAGAACAGAAACAGCAGTCTCATGCAAGGGACCAAAAAGCACTGAATAGAGACTAACATTTGAAACCTACAATTTAAAAAAGCTCCCCAAGGCCTTAAGAAAGCAGATGAAGTTGAGTCCCTAAAGCCCTCTAGAACTCTAAGAAAAGACTGTCCCTGCCACCAACATCAGAAGGTGATGAAGGCTCCCTGACCTATTTACAGGCGCCATTCAGAGCAGTGCTAGCTATCATTCTTCTCAACACCTTTGTTTTCTGTTCTAGCCTTCTTGCTAATCCCTCTCTCATGCTAATTTATCTCTCATGTCTCTAATTAAATTACTGCATTACCTTCTTTGTATGTTGTTTTAATTTACAGGACATGAAAGGAACAGAGAGGAGTCTATTTAAATTTTTGTATTAACACTTAAGATGAAAAAGAGGAATCTGAGGACTAGAGATTTATTTTCTTCTTGTGCAATGTACAGAAATAGAGTATTACCTGTGTTTAGATTTACCGTCAAGTGCCACTAAATCTAAAATAGCATCATCTTAACCTGGCTGAAAGGGTAGCACTCCTGAAGTCCGTAAAGACCCAAGCCCCTTCTAGCTCATCATTTGAAAGACTAGCCTTCATCTTCAGGATCCACAGATAACTATATTTCCATTCTAGGCAGCCTGATAAAAGGAAGGGTCTCGAACAAAAAGGCAGTAACACATACCAGCTTTACTGTAAGGAAACTTCCCAAAAATGACCACAGGACAAGGCCTCTCATCAGTCACACAGCCACACCTCACTGCAGAGGAGGCTGGGAAACGCAATCTGAGTTTTGGGTAGTTATGTGCCCTGTAAAGTTCATGACAAGAAGTGAGAGGAAGGGAGTTAACTTGCAGAGCAGTATATGAAGACTTCCAAATTTTATAAAACTAGAAATAGTTGACAATTTCAGTCAAGATATCCTCTTCAGAACAAGAACCTTCCAAGTGGTCCAAACAGAAGGCCACTGAAATATGTGAAGTTGACAATATAGCCCTTGATCCTTCCCCCGTTAAACCTCAAGTACACCTCAATGAGCTGGATTAGACAGTCAAATATTCTTACGTTGTTTCTCCCTCAGGAGCAAGTGTCCTGTTCCTGTGACACCCACAGACCTGAAGGAGCTCACCTCTAGGTCATGTCAACTGTCCAAGTTCCTAAGCCCTGCAGCCCAATCACCTCCCATCATTAAGAAAGAGAGGCCTTTCACATCCAAGGGGCAAATCTCACATAAACGACATTTGGCTGATGCCCAAAGGTGACAGGGATGAGAGCAGGATAAATAAAGAAAAATGTAGAAGTCAGTTGGGGCAGCCTTTCATTATAGCCCTTTCAAGAGCTATTAATCTTGGTCATAGTCAGTCAGCTAAAAATAATTACTTCTTCTAACACATGTTGTACACACAACTAGGAATAGTAACAGGTCAGCCCTTTTACCTAGGAAAGACGTGGCTTGTGGCTTTCCTACAGCCATCCACAACACTGTCTGCACAGCTGTTCTACCACAAGCATCTCTTCAGTTCTGTACAGTCTGTCTTCTCCACCACTAAAAGCAAAACAAAGAATAAGTACCACCAACATCATACTATCAATAACCTATAGTCAGAAGCGTGCTAATGGAAGAGTTATTTCCTTTGATTAAAACAGAAATAAAAATTTAAGTATCTCAGCATGTAGAGTATTTCACACGTGAGGAATTTTGCTTGTGGTACTTGGGGTATTCCACCACTGAACTACATTCCTATCCTTTTTATTTTTTTTATTTTGAGACAAGGTCTCCCTAATTTGCTCAGGCCGGCTTTGGACTTGTGATCTTCTTGCTTTTGCCTCCCTAGTATCTGAAATTACAGGCATGTACCAACAAGCCCAGCATTGCTGAGGTATTTTAATGCAGTGTTCTATTCCAGCTGAGCAGCCCTCCTCTAATTTCTCATTATTTTATCCTTTTTATCCTATCATTATTTTATTCAAAGTATCTTTGAGGGGTTTTTTTTTGTTGTTGTTGTTATTTTTGATTCTTCAGTGCTGGAGATTAAGCCCACGGGGCTCATGCTAAGCAAGCAATCTATCCTTAATTTATATCTTCAAGCTTTTCACTCAGTTTATAGAAAAAACTCTATACCTGCAATTCTAAATTGCAGACTTAGTTCTAAAATAAAGCTGCTGTGGAATCTTGATGAAACCAACAAGCTCTCTGGGCCTCACTTGACTCAGCTGTACTGTGGAAGATCTGATTCATATAATGTCATATGGTAACTTCACAATTTTAATAGTTCAAATGACTGGGTTTATGTCACCTAATAATAATAATTGATCTAAACTTCCAAAATTCATAAATAAGACTTAGCTGAGAGAAAGACTGGTTATAAAAGAATTCCTCCAAACCGAGGTCTTTAAGAGCACACATAGATGTAAAAATTAAATGAAAATTTCAATTGCACAGAGCCAGGTGCCATGTTATGCACAAGGAGAATCATCAGCAAGGTCAGCCTCTGTCTGTGCAGCAGAAACATGAAGAAAATGGAGTATCTTTAAGAGAAAATGCAGTCCCTGGAAACAGCAAGAACTACTACATTTGGAAAGGCAGGACGGAAATCCTAGCTTATTGTGACAGGAGAAAGACTCAGATATCCTGCTTTCACAGTCTCACACGTTCAAAATGAGGAAACAGCTTTTCCAAAGAAGAACCTAAATTTTAATGGTGACACCTTGATATACAGTGTGGACACCGACTGCTCTTCCCCACCTCTTAAAATGGTAGTGAAGGTGCAGGCAGGTTGAAAGATTTACACTAAGAAGGACCCAAACCAAAAGTTGCATTAAAGAAAAAAACAGGAAGATCCAATTACAGATTCTCCTAGAAAAATAACAAGTATTTTGTAAATTACACGGTTTTGTAAACTGTCTCTGTTTACAAAGTGAAAAACGCAAATGCAAAACTTAGAAATATTTTTTCAATAACAAAAAAATAAGTATCTAGAGGAGTATTAATCACATTTTATTTCATTTACCTTTCTTGGGCTACATTAAATAAATGCCCATTTTGGAAATATCCTTGATTTTTAAAAAAACTCAATGAAGGATTCTTTTTTAAAAGAAAAAATAGTCACATTAGGGTATGTGAATTACTTTATATCTTGAGAGGGGAATGGGCTTTTTATTATAACTATAAACTTCACTTATCACTTCAGAGGAGACATTAAAGTATTTGCAGTTTGATATTGTCCCCTGTAAGCCCTGTAGATATAGTGCTCACAGCTGGGTCAGAAGACAGTTTTAAAATTACTGTGGAACCACATAAGTTCTGTACCATTAGTGGTCGGGGTTGGGGGTGAAGTGGGATGAGTCCTAAAACAAATTATTTCCCATGAATTAAAAAGGGGTATGCACAAACAGATGCAAGATTGGCTGCTGAGCCATAATATAGAAAACAATTTTTTAAAGTTTTAAGGATAATACTTGAAAACTACTTTCTTAAAAATTTCTTCAAAATAAAACTGACTTATTTTCAAAATTCCTTTGATCCTACTTATATGATTACGTATGAATACGCCACATTTTGTTTACCTATTCATTAATTGATGGACATCTGTGTTGCTTCCATTATTTGGCTACTAATACCACTATAAAAATGTATTAAAATAAGTTCTAATATTGGAAATGGTTGTTCAGACTAACTCAAGTTTTCCCTCAAATGTTGCCAAAGACCTAACTACTGCTGAATCTTTCTTGCATATTCCATAAGTACATGCAAACATTTACACAAACAGTAACATGTACCTTTTTTAATTTAAATAACTTGAGGATTCCTTTGTGTTCCCATTGGCTTCATCTTTGTAAACTTATTTAACATATCCCCCACTGATGAATGTTTACATTGTTTACTATGTTAAGCCAACGCAAATAATGTCACAAAGAACATACTTATACATTTGTGCACATGTGCTAGTACATAAAGTAGAATAGGCATATCAAAGAGAATTAAAATACTGTACTGAGTAAGAGATTCAAATTCTGGCTATTTGTTGAACAAAAAGATGTAAAATCAGCAACAATACTGAAAAGTAAGAAATCTACATAATTAATTTACTAATGTATTTGGGATATAATTCATACAATGTAGAATTCACTCACTGACAGTGTACAATTCGATGGTTTTTAATACATTGAGTTGTGCAGTAACTACTATAGAGTACAGAACTCTATTACAAACCCCCAATAGAATCCCTTGTGCCTATCACTCAGTCTTGATTCCCTCTGTAACCTATCCCCAGCTCTAGGAAATCATTCATCCACTTTCTACCTTCATAAATATCCCTATTATAGATATTCCATAAAAGTGGAATCATACAATATGTAGTCTTTTCTGCTTGCCTTTCATTTATGTTTTCAACCTCCATCCATGCTGTAGCATGTTATCAGTGCTTCATTTTTGCAGAATAATATTCCATTATATGGATATACTGCATTTTTTCTACTTCTAAACTGATGGACATCTGGGGTAGTTTCTATTGTTTTGGCTATTATTCCATATTTATTAGCTTTAAACAAATCTAGAACCATCACTACTCACAAAACAAAGAAACAGTCTATTCCTTCAAATCTATGACTTTTAATGATTTCTTCTCTTTTCTCATACTCTGAAATACCCCTGTATCTTCCATACTCTTTGTGCAATCCAATTAATAAACTTGTTCTGAGTTTATACAATTTATTGTCATGGCCAATGCTGAACAAAAATATACAAAGACTAATAAAACCTCCAAGTCTGGCAAAAACTTATATTTTAGTAAGTGGGATACTTCTTGATAGCAGTTTATGAAGATGCTCAGGGTTTAAACGCCAGCTCAGTTAAAACTTTCTTGTAAGATGCTAGAAAATAGTTTAGGCACTGTGAGTCACGTATTTCCCCTACCAAATATTCTTTCTTCATTATAATCTTTTAAAATGTACAAAATTATCTTCCAAGGGATAGCTAGACCCTCATTTGAGTTATGAGCAAAGAGGAAATTTAGAGGTTCACATTCTTACCCAATTAGCATGCTGGATGAAATTCAAAATCCATGAATATTATTTTTGATGGCCTTAACTCTGTCTCTATTTACAAGTTATTCTTTTATTTCCACGACTCTTTATACCACAGATTGCTTGGTAATTGACAAAACAAACTCTTCCTGTCCCTTCAAATCCTAATAGAAACTATATTCTGCATAAAGGACAAAAAAAATATGGTTACATAACCAGATGGACAAACAGCACTTAACAAAACTCAGCATCATTTGATGATAAAAAGACTAACAAAACACATACAAAAAGAATGTACTAAATACAATAAAGGGAAAATAGGATATGCCACAACCAATATTATACTCAATGGTAAAAAACTGAAACCCTTGCTCTAAAATCCAGGCTACAAAGAGAATGTCCAATCTTCTTTTCAGCATAGTACTAGAAGCACTGCCAGGCAATTAGGAAAGAGAAGTTAAAGCAAAAGGCATCCAAAATGTAAGAAAGAAATGGAAGGGCTGGTATTGGTGATGACGTGGTCATATGAAAGGAAACCCTAGTAAGTACACCAAAACTGTTACAACTAATACATAAATGCATACAGTAAAGTTGTAGGTTACAAAATCAACACACAAAAAGCAGTAGCATTTCTACCCACCAACAATAAACTACCCCCAAAACAAATCAAGGTGACAATCTTAATTATACTAGCTATATCAAAAATAATTTTAAAAATAAAATAACTTAAAATTTAACCAAGGACATAAAAAGCTTACACAATTACATCATTAATGAAACTACAAGACATTTTAAAAGACACAAATAAAAATATATCCTAATTCGTGTTCTGGAAGAATTAATGTTGTTTAAATGTCCATACTATCCAAAGTGACTTAGATTCAGTGCAATCCCTATCAAAATTTCAGTACAATTTTTTCATAGAAATAGAAAAAAAATCATAGAAACCTGAATCACCAAGACAAAAGAACAGAGGTGGAGGCAGCACATTACTCTTTTGCAAACTATACTATAAAGTGAAAGTAAATAAAATAGCACAGTTGTGATCTAAAACCTAGGCAATAACTATACTACTAATCTGTTAGTTCATCACAAAGAACTGTTTGTGCTTTCATTATTTGATTCACCATTTTTATGCCTAAATCTTATAACCCGAACAACTACTTCTAAGATAGTATTATGCAATATATTAACTAAATACCTATTTTTCTGAAATTCTGTATTGCTTCTATCCTTTTTTCTGTTCTGCTTTTGAAAATTAAAAAAAAAGTTAGACCATTAACCAATGTAAGGGAATAAAGAACTCAAAAATGAACCCATGAATCTGTGGTCAATTGATTTCAAAAAAGGTGCCAAATATATATCTTGGGAAAAGGACGGTCTGTTTAGCACGTGATGCTGGAAAACTGGATATCCACTTGCAAAAGAATGAAAAAGAACACTTACCTCATAACATACACAAATCAACTCAAAACTGACTGAAGACTTAAACACTAAACCAAAAACCATAAAACTACTATA